TCCATTCAAGGTAAAAAGAGGTCATACGCACAGATTATGTCAGCATATTAAAACACCAAAAACTCAAGTGGGCTACTTATCCCTAGTAAATTGGAACATTCAAAATCTCCTAAACATGGTAAACTGGTAACTGTTACATTTGGTTAGGATGCAAGCTTTCCATTTCATGAAAAATTCCAGAGCTCCTCAATAATTTTCTGTTCTGAAACAGAGTGTATAGCAATGAAAAGGGCTGTTAAGAACAAAGACCCTTTAAGTTTCTAGAAAATAAAAATGTTAGGTTTTAGTTGACTTAATCTTTTGTATATATGTAGTTACAATGAAGTAGAAAGTTTTGGCAAGAAGAAAAGACAAAGTTGGTCAGAAAATCTTGAAATCAGTGGTGCATAGTTGAAATACATTATACATATTGTTGAAACATCTGTATGTTTCTTCAAAGCAATCCCTGCATAAGACCTTTGCAGTTTTCCCTTGGCAAATGATTTTTTAACTTGGTCTAGCGAAAAGTTTCCACTTCTTCTTTATCAAAATAAGTACACAGTGTATGCTTGCACTGTCAGTGATCTGACCAGGTGATAGATTCCCCTCCTGTGTAATTTTCACAAAATCTGTTTATTAGGCTGATTAAATTGTTACCTTTTCCAATTATTTTTTTCCCTTCTCACTCCTCACTTGGAACTACAGTTCCTCATTGGAACTGCCAAAGTAAGAGGCAAAACTAATTTACAGCTGGCTTTGTTCTTGAGTCTTGACTTTTCCTGCAGCTGTGAATTTTTCCTGTCTTCAAGGAAGTTTAAAGTTGTGCTTATTTCTTTTATTGTGTCTTAGGATAGATTTATAAGAATTTCCAGAATTTCCCATGACCACCCAGAAATCATATCTTATCTTCCACTTACCAGAATAGTTTCGTGTGCTTCTCTTTCAGTAACCATGCTGGAAGTCCAGTTTAGGCAGCCGTAACCCCCCTCACTCCTGATGTGAATTGGATAGGGAATGGATGACCCAGAGTAACAATAATACATTAGTGGTTTTTTTTCTTGTTTGCTTGTTTTGTTTTGTTCTAATGTAGGTCATTTTTCTGATACATTGTTACAAGTGCTTTCTCTTTTTTTTCCTCACTCTGTCCGGGCAGTCCTTGCTGTTCGGTTTGCCGTGATACACGCTGGACCATCTCGTCATGACCACTGTGTACGAGAACCCAGCTGAGACATACGGAATGTGATAGTCAGAGCTTTCTTATGCCAAATGAAGAATTTGGTACTTAACTCTGGGATTCATGGTATTCTGTACATCCAGTTAGGTTAGAGGAGGTGAGGGTATGGGGAAATGAACAGGAAGTATTAATTAGCTCACTGATATGAAATATCAAACAAGGGGGTGCTTAAGATGGTGCCTTTGTCCAAGAATAAGGGGTTTCTGTATAGCTGCAATTCACATGCCAGATGTGAATTTCATAACCAGACCGGCCCTTCAGTTATAAGCGACAGACATATTCAATTCTTTGGAAAGGTAAATAATCTTTTGTACAATAGCCTGGTTGTTAAAGCAGAGAGGTGGGTAACTTGAGATTCATGCTCTGGTTCAAGGCAACTAACCCCCCAACTCCTACAAACCACAGTGCAAACTTCAGAGATTCTTGAACCCAAATGGTCTTAAAGTCAGGACAGCTGCCTAGCTGCTGTGCTCCATCTGAGGATGGCAGTGCTCTTGAATCTGGCAGAATTCCTCATGCTTAATGACTGCTTCATACTTAATGACTGTTTCTTGAATAAAAGCATGGGTATCTGCAACTTTCCAGATCTGATACCAGTTAGGTAGAGAGGTTTTGGAGGTCACTCTTTTAACTGCCTGAATTTGCCCAAATTGTGGCTTTGAGCATAAAAGTGATACTTTGGAGCTCATCTGGCTTCACAGGTTTTACCATTAGGCAAAATAACATAATTCTCTTGACGCTTCATAATGTGCATATTTTTTAGCAGCTTGGGCTCCTATATAATCTTGGAGAATCTGTTAGTTAGAAACATTTGATTGTAGCTCCCAGGCCTGAAACAAAATCACAGAGATTGAACCAGCTGTATTGATTGAACCTGTCAATTGAACCAGAAAATCACCAGTTGAATTTCCGCACTAGATTTTGCTGCCCATAAAGAGGCATTTACTCATCTTGTTTGTCTACTTTCAGTATATCCACTATTCATGGCACTCATTTTTTAAAATGCCCAAACATTTGGGCACTAAGTGCTTTATCGTGAGTTCTACAGAATGTAGAGCTCATGAAGAATAGCTCGATCACACAGACTGACTTCACATTTAAAAAAGGCTGATGGACTTTTCTAGAAAAAAAAGTTTGAAATATATCAAATCCTTTAAAAAATGCAACAATTGAAAAATTCCTCAAAGAATCCGTAGAAGTCTTTAGTACATTGCTATAGTGGCTCATTACCCTCACTGACAAAAAAAAAGTGCATCTAATTTTTAGCCTAATTTTTCAAGGTTCAATTTCCAGCTATTGGATCTTATTACATTTTTGTTAGCTCAACTGAAGAGCCATCTTATTATGAAATTTCTGTTTCCATGTAGGTATTTAAGGACTGTGATTAAGTTATCTCTTGATAAATTAAACAGACCAAATCTCTTGAACCTTGTACTGGAAGATACATTTTTCAATCTCATTTTCCAGGCTTTTCCCTAAAACCTCTATAGCTTTTCAATGGATTTCTATAATTTTAGAAAGCTGAACTGTACAAATATTTAAGCAGATCAGATATGTTAAAAAACAAAACAACAACAACAAAAAAAAAAACAAACAACTTTCTTCTTTTCTTCTGCTTCTTAAAGATTCAGTGTATGCAAATGAGGATTTTATTAACCCTGTAAAAAGAAAATATAGCAACTTGAGAGTTCCAGAATGCAGATCAAATATGAGGCCAACCTTCATAGTTATATTTTCTTTATAAGAGGTTGCATTTTTCTCATGTGTATGACTTCATATTTATCCATTTTCAAACATACTTTTTATTTATTTTAACAGTTAAACAACAAAGTTTGCTATTTTGTACCAGTACCTACTCTGTGTAATGTTTACCATTCGTTACGGTTTAGTATTATTATTTTTTCATCATTATTATTATTTTTAATATCTAGTCTTTTGCTTGTAACTAGAAATTCTGAAGTCACTGTGGAGATAAGTCATATAACATATTAGAGCTTGAATCTATTGAAATTATCCATGTTTCCAATCAAATTTATAAGTTTAACATTAAATCAGTTTACCCTAATTCATTTTCCACAGCTGATAGTTGATTAGAATTTACTGTAATTTAATATTGTTTAATTTTATTGCACTAATTGTGTGCCTGCTGTTCTATTAATTGGTAGAAAGTGGAGGAGACTTCCTCCACCTCCTGAGAATGCTTGCTTCTTATAGGTCATTCAATGTACAGCAAAAGTGAGTTTTTTGATTTATAAGTTTTCTTATAAACTAATAATTATTTTTTAACCTGTGTTTTACCGAGTCATAGGCTGTGCCAGTGTAAGTAGGCAATGGGTAGGAAGGGCTTCCCAGCTCTGTGGCTTCAGGAATGACACATAATACAGGCATTTACTCCACACCTACCAGTGCTAATGGGTGGCTGACCTCCTCACAGATAGGCCTGTTGATGACTGCTGGTATATCTCACCTCAGACAAATGTGTATCAAACCTGTGTATGTCCCTACAAGAGCCTTTTCCATTCTCTGTTTTGGTCAGCAGTATTACAATGAATCTTTCTGTTTTTCTCTCAGATGCTCAATTGGAAAAGACCTCCTGTAAAACCCTCAGTCAATTACTTCAGAATGCATGTCATCTAGCTTCTTGTCACACAGATGAAACAGGGAAAGTTGTGGAGACCCTGAAATTAAAAACCCTGCTCTCTAGGCCAGTTTTAAAGCTCAATCTAATGCCCCCTACTACGTAGACAGCTTCTACAAGACTGAAGGAAGATTGCAGATCAGTGCCTTTTCTTTCCTATAATTTTCTCCTCCTCTGACTTTGGCTGAATGTTTCACTTTTCTGTGTGTTTTGGGGCTTGCTCTACCACCATTCCATAGTGGTCTTGATCACAAATAAAGTGGAGGGTGCAGATCAGGTAGCTTCCATTGTCTGTCAAAAATCATGGCTTTTCTTTTTGCAGTCAGCGGATAGAATGAGTACTTTTCTTTACGGGTTTCTAGAGCCAAATTTTTGAACTAGAGACTTACCTGGCACAAACTATTCTGTACTTTTTATATCCTTGTGGTCTGGCTTATCAAGTCACTAGAAAGAATTCTGTTTCAGTGAGTGATTCTTATTTGATCATGGATCTTATTCTGTCCCATCTCAGGCTATTTTCTGAGGCATATTTGCCATGGACTGAAGAATATTAGACTATGGCATGACATAAAAATAGAGATTGAATGGTATTACAGAACATTACTTCTTGTGTAGCTTATTACAGAAAGGTGTGGAGATTTACTTGAAGGACTCCTATTAGTAGCAGTAAAAGCCTCATGGCTAAATGGTGTGCAAGGCTTGGAAGTTTGCAGATTTTTATATTTTATTGCAGAGGCTGTTATGTACTATCACACAGCACAGCCCTCTTTTTTTTTACAGAATAGACATAACACAGGCAGTATATGCAGCATTAAAGGAAATTGCCTTCCTTCTCCCTGATGGAGAGCATCTATGAAGTTCTGCAGTGTCCAGTGTAGCCATGAGACAGTACTCATCTCTTATCATTCAAGGCCAGCTAAAAATAGAAGATGAACATCAAGCTCCTCCTGGCAGATCTTTTCCTCTCTTTTCCTCTCCCTTTTCTTCAGCAATGTTATTAAGTGAGCAGTACAAAAGCTGACCAGAATGGACATAATGGTAATCAGGTTCTTCCACTTCTCAGAGAAAAAGACAGTCAGGTGCATTGTAGTCTCAAAGTGAGATCATACCCCCAGAAGAGGTCTGGAACTCATAGGAGCTAGTGCAAAAGAAGAGTCCTGAGATGGAAGGCACTCCACTGGGCTAAGAGCAAATTTTAGTAATGGATGGGAACAAATGCTCTTCCACATCCAGCTCAGACACTGCTTCAGGGACCTCAGTTGAAGGGGACAAGGAGGGGCTGGAGTTAGAGTGAGAGAGAAGCATGTCATCCTCTGTTTGTGACAAGGTATTTCAGAGAAGTGATTTCAGTGAAGGAGAAGCTCAAGGTACTGTGAAGTGTGAAAGAAAGATGGGAAAATGCGTGTCTTGACAAAAGAAGCAGAAAGGATGATCAGTGGGGTTCATGAAGTGATGTATGTGGCATGGGAAGCAATGCAAAAGGATAGCACTCATTTTCAGGTAGCACAGGGGGCAGTGAAGGGAACTGAGCCAGCGGCTGTTGGTGTGTGCAGTGAATATCAGTTCAGCGTGAATGGAGTGTTCTCACAGAGAAGATAACGGGACTGATTTTAATTAGGAAAGTATACATGAACAGGGTATGGAGGAGGAGGAGGTGTAATAGCAAACCTCCTTATCTGTTTTCCATTTATCAGTTCTTTGATACTTTCACTGGGACAAAAGGTGGCAACTAGTTACAGCAAAAGTTTTCAAAAAGGTACAAATTAAAATCAAACCAAACCAACTGTTTAACATTCATACCACAAATTAATCTTAAAGAGATATTGGTTTGGTTTGTGTTTATGCAAAGGATTCACACTGAAAGCTAGGATAAATATGCCAGCATCAATTTCAGGAAAAATACATAAAAATTACCTTTGAACAATAATTGCTTTATTTAAATTATATTTACTGGGAGCTTTATAGTTTAATTAAATATGAAATTATTTTACTGCCACATTCCCAAAATGAGGGAAGGATTGCTGAAATTTATTAGAAACTAGAAAAGTAAAAAGCAACTAAGACTCAAACTTGAGAAATTAGAGTGTTATATGAAAACTTGTTTTGTCTGATACTGATTCCATTCATTCACAAAGGACGAAGTTTAAGATATTGCTAATAAGATGAGCACTTTAAAATTCTGTAAGATAAGGTAGCATTACAAAATTGTAGTAGATTACTAAGTTTCTAAAACTCATTGGATGCACTTAAAGAATACTGCATCTTTTTCTTTCTTCTCTTCACAGAAATGACTGTTCATTTGACAACAGAAATAATGAAGAGTAACTCAAGCTTTTAGTCTGTAGCTCTCATAACATCTCACTTGACTTGCAGCAGTAGCTGCAACAGTACTCTCTTTTCAACAGCAATGACAAAAGTGCAGGTGGTTGCCTTCTTTCCTCCCTCCTTTCTTTCTGTATTTTTTCATTTCTCCTTTTCCTCTTATTTTTTTTTTCAGTTTGACTGTGCAAAAGCAGAGAAAAGGTTGAGAGAGCAAAATAAATAATATCTGTGAGAAGCACTTTTGATGGGTTCAGAACAGTGGATCTCCTTGCACCGCTCTTTCCTGTGAACTCCTCCTATAGGTGCCATTAAAATTACCTGGGATCTACAGAGGAGCTGACAGTGCATTAATAAGTAATGACATTGATATTGGTATTGGAATCCCTGGAATGTCTGTACACCAATGCACGCAGCATGGGAAATAAGCAGGAGGAGTTGGAAACCTGTGTTAAGTCAGGAGACTATGATCTGGTGGCAATTACAGAGACGTGGTGGGACAGCTCACATGACTGGAATATAGTCATGGAGGGCTATGTCCTTTCCAGGAAAGACAGGCCAGCCAGGCGGGGTGGTGGGGTTGCTCTTTATGTGCGGGAGCAACTACAATGCACCGAGTTCTGTCCAGGGACAAATGACGAGCGAGTTGAGAGTCTGTGGGTGAGAATTAAGGGGCAGGCTGGCAGGGGCGATACTGTTGTAGGTGTCTGTTACAAACCACCAGATCAAGGTGAGGAAGTTGACGAGGCCTTCTGCAGGCAGCTGAGAGCGGCCTCACAGTCACAGGCCGTGGTCGTCCTGGGGGATTTTAACTTCCCTGATGTTTGCTGGAAGAACCACTCGGCAGCCCAGCCGCAGTCCAGGAGGTTCCTCCAGTGTATGGACGATAACTTCCTCCTGCAAATGGTGGATGAGCCGACCAGGAGAGGAGCGCTGCTGGATCTCATCCTCACTAACAAGGAGGGTCTGGTCGAAGCAGTAAGGGTTGAGGGCTGCCTTGGTTGCAGCGATCCTGAGATGGTGGAGTTCAGGATTTGTGTGGTAGGACCAGTAGAATAGCAAGTAGAATTGCAACCCTGGACTTTAGCAGGGCAAACTTTGGCCTTTTCAAGCAATTGCTAGGGGAAATCCCATGGGCAAGGCTGTTTGAAGGTAAAGGGGCCCAAGATAGTTGGTTGGCATTCTAGGATTGCTTTTTCCGAGCTCAAGATCAGAGCATCCCGACACGTAGGAAGTCAAGGAAGAGGGCCAGGAGACCTGCGTGGCTAAATAGGGAATTGCTGGGTATGCTCAAGTAGAAGAGGAGAGTTTACAGGTCATGGAAGGAGGGGCTGGCCACTTGGGAGGAATATAAGGCTGCTGCTGGAGGATGTAAGAAGGCAGCTAGGATGACTGAGGCCTCCTTAGAATTAAACCTGGCGAGAAGGGTCAAGGACAGCAAAAAGAGCTTTTTCAAATACATGGCAGATAAAACTAACACCAGAGGCAGTGTAGGCCCACTGATGAATGGGATGGGTGCCCTGGTGACAGAAGGTACAGATGGCAGAGTTACTGAATGCCTTCTTTGTCTCTGTCTACTCTGCTGCAGGCAGTCCTGAAGAGCCCTGTACCCCTGAGACCTCAGATGAAGCCAGGTCAACGGAGCGGTTTGCCTTAGTCGATGAGGAATGGGTTAGAGACCAGTTGAGCAATCTGGACATCCATAAATCCATGGGTCCAGATGGGATGCACCTGCGGGTGGAAGTCATTGCTAGACCACTCTCCATCAACTTTACCAAGTCTTGGGAAACGAGAGAGGTGCCTGAGGACTGGAGGAAAGCAAATGTCACTCCAGTCTTCAAAAAGGGCAAGAAGGAGGACCCGGGTAACTATAGACCAGTCAGCCTCACCTCCATCCCTGGGAAAGTGATGGAACACCTTCTCTTTGGTGCCATCTTAAGGCATATCAAGGATAAGAGGGTTATGAGAGGCAGTCAACATGGCTTCACCAAGGGGAAATCATGCTTGACCAATCTCTTAGCCTTTTATGAGGAAATAACACAGTGGATGGATGATGGCAGAGTGGTGGCTGTGGTCTACCTTGACTTCAGCAAAGCATTTGACACAGTCTCCCACAGCATCCTCACAGCTAAATTGAGGAAGTGTGGTCTGGATGATCAGGTAGTGAGGTGGACTGCGAATTGGCTGAAGGAGAGAAGCCAGAGAGTTGTAGTCTATGGGGCTCAGTCTAGTTGGAGGCCTGTAACTAGTGGAGTGCCTCAAGGGTCAGTACTGGGACCGGTATTATTTAATATATTCATCAATGATTTAGATGAGGGAATTGAGTGTACTATCAGCGAGTTTGCTGATGACACTAAGCTGGGAGGAGTGGCTGACATGCCAGAAGGCTGTGCTGCTATCCAGCGAGACCTGGACAGGCTGGAGAGTTGGGCAGGGGATAACTTGATGAAATATAACAAGGGAAAGTGTAGAGTCCTGCATCTGGGCAGGAACAACCCCAGGTTCCAGTATAGGTTGGGGAACGACCTGTTAGAGAGCAGTGTAGGGCAGAGGGACCTGGGGGTCCTAGTGGACGACAGGATGACCATGAGCCAACACTATGCCCTTGTGGCCAAGAAGGCCAATGGCATCCTGGGGTGTATTAGAAGGGCGGTGGTTAGTAGGTCGAGAGAGGTCCTCCTTCCCCTCTACTCTGCCCTGGTGAGACCCCATCTGGAATATTGTGTCCAGTTCTGGGCCCCTCAGTTCAGGAAGGACAGGGAGCTGCTGGAGAGAGTCCAGCGCAGGGCAACGAAGATGATTAAGGGAGTGGAGCATCTCCCTTATGAGGAAAGACTGAGGGAGCTGGGTCTCTATAGTTTGGAGAGAAGGAGACTGAGGGGTGACCTTATTAGTGTCTATAAATATATAAAGGGGGAGTGTCATGAGGATGGAGCCAGGCTCTACTCAGTGGCAAACAATGATAGGAAAAGGGGTAATGGGTACAAACTGGAACACAAGAGGTTCCACTTAAACTTGAGAAGAAACTTCTTCTCAGTGAGGGTGACGGAACACTGGAACAGGCTGCCCAGGGAGGTTGTGGAGTCTCCTTCCCTGGAGACATTCAAAACTCGCCTGGACACATTCCTGTGTAACATTATCTAGGTGTTCCTGCTCCGGCAGGGGGATTGGACTAGATGATCTTTCGAGGTCCCTTCCAATCTCTAGCATACTGTGATACTGTGACCTTGCTTTGCCATGGGACTAGCTGCACATGGATAATTTTTCTCCAGTCTGCACTGCCTAAGTATGTGCTCCTCTCCCAGTCACCTACTTCTGTTCTAGTAGGTATGGGACTTGTGCCTGTGCAGGTGTTATACATTAGACAGACCCTTTTTCTAGCAATCTTTTTATTTTTCTCACCTGGACCCGTAGTCATAGGATTAATATAAGACCTCCTTTTGTGCTGTGTGATGCAAAGAAGGAATTTCAGGGACTAGAGTTACTTCTCAACAAGTCAGGAAAGACTTTTTTAAACACTGGTATTTATTTCCTATAGCAGTGAATCATCTTTGCAGTAAGGGCAATGTCATGAGGTTCCATGAATTATATCTCTAAATACACATCTTTGGTTGAAGGCCTGTTCAGTTATTAGCATTTCATCAAAGTGGAACTTGAATGATGATATCAGAGAAGAAGAAAAATCTGCATGAACTTGATTTCCACCATTGGCCTAGCTTGATAAGAAATGAAGCTAACAGAAGGACATGGGGTTGATGCTTCAGAATGGCTAGGGGCCAGAAAATGTGAAAAAAAAAACAAAACAAAACAAAAAACAAAAGCAACAAAAACAAAACCAAACCAAACCCCATACCCTGCAATATTCCAGTCAGATGGCTGGAATTCTGCTGACTTCAAGAAAGACAACACCCACTGGCAATATGTCCTTGCACCAAAAAGGAAAAACCCAGCTGTCGCCCGTCTCTTCTTTCTTCTGACCCTGAGTTTCAGGGCATCCCCTCCTACCTGACAACCTAGATGTGAAGCTTAGCCAGACTTTTATTACTCTCTGGTCTGCATCCCTTCCAAGGCTTCCAGCCACTTCATGGCCTAAGCAGGCAGGGCAGCTTTTGTAATCCACTTGGAGGAATGCTGTCATCCTTGGGGATCAAGTTTCACCTTCCGTGGAATGGAGGAATACCCAGCAGGAACCACACAGGGCAGCTCTCCAGAGTCTCAGAAACTCTGCCCTTAACGTAATAAGAGTGAGCTTCTAAAGCCAAGAGGATGCTACTGGGCTTCCTAAAGCTGAGCCACTCTTCCACTCACTGTCCTGTATTTTGGAAACATCGCAATAGCCGGTGCTGCTTACCATGTTTCCAGATAAGTGTTCCAGGAAGAAGTTTCTTTCTGTGTTCCGATGCACGATTAAAGACATTTTTTGACCTAGCAGGGCACATACTGGGTTTTCTCCATCCAGCAATAGCAAAATAATCTCAGCTCCTGAGAGTTTCTTATTCCCTAGTTGTTTATACTAACAGCCCTATTACATTCTGTTTATCTAGCTCCTAAACACAAATATAAAGGCACAGTGAGCAGGATTGTCTCTCTGCTGATCTCATTAAGGGATGCAATAACTTCCACCACAACTGAATTTTATTCAAAATCTATGCTAAAATCAGCTGTAGAAATATTTGCTTTTTTAACATGGTAAATATGCGTCAATCTGAGTCTCTTCAGTAGATGAAAAAGTTATGTCATATTTGGTTTTCTACTCAGGTGCCACAAGTGCACTCTTAAACAATGTAGGCTATCGTCTAAACAGAGGGAGTAACTTTTTTAACTGAGTACTAAAATAAACTGCCTTTTTTGCTAGCCTTTTTTGGCATTTAAAATTATCCAAGGCTACATTCAAGTTTGATACACTTCTATGCCTCACTGCAGTTCTGAATGAATGTTTATGGTTAAGTTATACATCCCTGGATAACAGATTTGGAATGGAAATATTGACCTAATGGTGTAAATTGCGTTGCAGTAATACAGGACAAATTACTGCTCCTGTCTTTTCATTTTTATTTTTATTTGGTAAATGCTATATCTGAGTTTATTAAACTTTGAGCAATTCAGGCATTCAAATGGAAAGCATTTGTAAAATATTTTGCCAGTTTCACAGGGGCGAATCTTGCTCTTTTGAGAATCTTTTGTGTAAGTATGAAGTTCCTACGTATTTCCAAGTCATATAGAAAGGGCTGTCAGGAAGGAAAGAATTCTTCTGCATGAATACTTTATATTTTTAAAGACTTTTTTCAGTCTCTGTGAAAATAAAGTCGGGTTGTTTCCCATTCTTAAAAAAAGAAAAAAGAGAGCACACCACAACCTAATCCATGGTGATTAGGGCACCTATCTCAAATATGATGATCCAAACTTCAGTTTCCACCTGTGAATCAGACAGTGCCCAGGTCTGCTTATAACAAGGTGTTATGATGAAAAGCTCTTTCCGTTTCAGTCCTGAAACCCTCCCCTGAAACTGAGATGTTTTCCTGCAGAAAGTTTGACAAATTAATTTCTGTGTAAAACTTTAGTGTCAATGGCAAAAATTTTGTTGTAAGAAATTGTCCTGGGTTCAGCAGTAGCAGTAATTCTTTCTCCTTCTTAGTAGCTGGTGCAGTGCTGTGTTTTTGACTTTCAGCCTGGGAACAACGCTGATAACACTGATGTTTTTAGTTGTTGCTCAGTAATGTTTACTCTGACCAAGGACTTTCTGAGTCTCATGCTTTGCCAGGGAGGAAGGGAAGCCAGGAGGAAGCAGACACAGGACACCTGACCCAAACTAGCTAAAGAGGTATTCCATACCACAACATGTCATGCATAGTATATAAACTGGGGCAGTTACCTGGAAGGGCTAGCGCATGGTTCTGGGTTGCCAGCTGGGCTTATACCACTACAGAAATCTCAGTATATATGAGCTGAATCAGATGCTTAGCTGCTTTGTTAGCTTTCCTTGATTTTGAAGAAGCCTACCTGAAAGATCTGGAACTAATGTCCTTATTGCTATCCTATATTCACATTTTATTCCATTTCTACCTCCTTGTTTCTCACATATCCCCCTTTTTGCAAATATTTGTCTAATTTTGTATTGAAAAAAAAAAGTAGGGCTTCTACAAAGCCGTTTCACTCCAGAAACATCATCCACCATGCCAGTTACTGTCACAGCTCAGCACTCCAGCTCTATACAGCAAAAGACCAAAGTAATTCCTACTCTTAAATGATTTGTCATATTGGGGGCCTTTGAGTCTGACCCTGCAACCCTTATGCATACAAGTAGTCCTTGTTGCCCTTATATAAGTAATAGTTAAGCGCTTGTGTGTGTAAAGGTTGCAAGGTGAGTCCCATTGAATATCATTATCCTGAGTATAATAACTGTTTTGCTGAAACTCTTGGATTATCTTTTAAAAACCAACCCGTATTACTCAATGGAGAATTCTGGAAGGAAAATAAAAAAAAAATTAATGTTACATTTTGAAAGCAGGCAAAGGTCATATGAATGTTGCCCAAGATTTTTGATTGAGTAATGTACTTTGGAATAAGTTGCTGTGATTCTTTGGCAGAACACTGTTTATTGTTCAAGTTAAATTTTTCACAGTTAATGGGATGGTCAGTTGCAGGTATTGAAAATATTTGCCCTGCCAAATACTGCAAGAGTGAAAACCCTCGAGCTGGTTGAATAATGAAACAGAAACCATTCCAGCAAGCTGCTTGACAGCTGGTGGAGAAATTCTCAGAATATTGTTTGACCAAAATTTAAACTTTTATTGATCAAAACCCCCAAACAATCAGAAAAACTTACTATTGACTATTTTCTGAAGAAAATTACCAAAATATTTGATTATGTTATTTGCAAGGAACTGTTTGACTAGCACTTAATTGGAGCAAAACTGTTTCTTGGTTGTTCTGTTTTTTGAAAGATGCTATAGCTTATCCAGATATTTCTCTTCATGCATAGCCTACTTTCCACTGGCCATACGATACCATCAGTTTTTAAGCAGACTCTCCAATGATGTCAATGGAAAATTCTGCTTAGAAAACTCTGTTTAATTTTCCCTGCTTTACAAGCAGAGAGAGTATATGAATCACAATACTGAAACTGCACTTGGAAAATAAAGACCAAAAGTTCTGCATGAATGTGTAATGATTCAGGAACAAACGCTGCTTTCAAGAACATCAGCCTAATATGAAACAAACACTGTTAGTGTAGCTGAAATTATAGTGCAGCTTCACTGCAACTGTTTACAAATGTTCTTCATATATCCTAAACCCATAGTCAGTAAGGTGAAAGAAACCTTTTCTAATGTCAGGGCCTCTGATCTTTGCCTATTTCCAACAATCCGAACTACATCTTTGTTGTAAATGACTAAAGACACACTGATAAGGCTTTTTAGATGAGAATTTCTACTGAAATCTCATCTAAAAATTGTGCGCAAATTCTGCATTAAATTATGCACAAAGATACACAGATGTCTTAACTGTTTCCATGAATTTCAGAGAATGAACATGACAATAAATAATTCTCTTCTTATCGTGGAACATCTCAGAGAAGCTAAATCCAAGTCTGATTTAAACTTGGAAGAACTTAGCCACAACAGCAACAGAAGTCTAGTAAAGTAAAACATACACAGCCAACAGTGAATAATGCATTACCCCAACAACCAATCCTCTATTTCCAGTGAAATCAGAGACTGGTCACTTATACAAAGCCTGAATACACTGTTTACATCCTGAGGAGGGGGAAAAAAGAAGACATTTAGCATACACTAGTTTCAGGGATAGCTTACCTATACTTTGAAATATTGGTGTTTTTTTGTTTGTTTTTAGTTTTTTAATTAACGTGTTCCCATCTCGAAATAAAAGTATAAAGGAGGAAAAATACCAACTACAGTGCGGTTAAAATTCAGATCAGCCTCTCCACTTTAGTCCTGTTGTGTTCAGCTTACTTATTAATTGAATGTGGCTAAGATGCTCAGGACTTGCAAGTATACCCACTCACTTCTAGCTAGAGTTGTAGGTACTATACCTAGGACTGGCAAATTTACACCCAGATTAATTGTGTACAGCATCTGGGAAGCCTCAGCTGATTCCTACAGAGATGCTGATGCTTGTTCATGATGCTGGGAAATCAAGTCGTTACAACAGAAAGCAAAACGAGGGGCAAACCCTGATGGTTTCTTTACCCAGGGGAACAGCCCCGGTGAAAACAGGCTCAGGAGAGGACGGAGGGGCTCGCACAAAGTTTTATCTTAGGTTCTGAGGAACAGTGGCTGCGTATTCCCCCGGTCACCTCCTGGGAGCGCGACAGACCCCCGAGCGGATGCATGCGGGTGGGGGTACCCTGTGCTGCTCGCCCTTCCGCATTCCGCGTCCCAAACCTGGGGCTTGGTCAGGGTTTGCCGGAGAGAGGTGGAGGGGTGGAAGCTGCGCGGGATGGACGCTCAGCCCCCGGGCCGGGCTGTTTGCGGAGGCCCAGGGGCAGCAGCCGGTCTCCGCCCGGGTGGCCCGTTGTTGCCAGCCAGTGGGGACGTGCCCCGGTCTCGCCTCCTTCTGTGAGGGCCGAGAGGGGCGTTTGCCCCTTCGGGTCATGGCAGGGGGGGTTGGAACTCAGTGAAGGTCCAGGTCTCCTCCACCCCAAAGCATCCTATAATTCCGTGATTCTCAGCGTGCCACATCCGTGCTTCCCGCTCCCGTCCCTTGCAGCTACTTGCAGCCGTTCGAACGGCCACACACAGGGTTAACACCACCTTGGTCGGACAGTATATGTTTAATATGCAAGTATATTTGATGTTCATTGACAGAGCAACAATAGGAATGATCTTGCTTTATGTACCAGTTACAAGGTTTAATATCATTATATTGCATGCGATATTAGTTTTTATTAGTCGCCATTAACAACATGTTTTCTACTTGAATTCTCATTTACTTGTTCAATGCAAAAATTATCTTTGTAAAAGAGAAAAACACATCTTCGAGTGTCAGCTATATTAAATTAAAGAACTGTTTACCCTTCCTAAGGAAAGCATATGTATCTAAATAGGCATCTTTTACCGTTTGCATAGTAGATTGGAAATTAGCATTTTTGTTCATTTTCCCATGTATGCACAGCGCCTGGAAGAGTAATACTCCATGCATATCAGATCAGCCAGCCTACAATTTTTGTGCAATATATTATTTGGCAATCTAAAATTTGTAATTTGCATGAAATTGCTTAATTAAAATACAGTCACTCAGGGTATTAATTTCTCTGTCTGGCAGTTCAACGTACTAAAGGCGGGCTACAGAAAATGTGAAATCCTGTCAGATGTAACAGTAAAATATTAACCAAAAGAAAAAAAAAAATCCACTTCTGGCAACAAAGTGACAGAGTGATAATGCTTTTGCCCTGATTCTGGGTTCAAATACGAGCTTGGGTTGACATTGAAACCAGCGAGGAAATTTACAATAGCAACTCTGGCTTTTTGCCAATAAATCTGCACCACGGACCTTTCCTGGCGAAACCCTTTTCCCTCTCCCCACCCCCTTTACATTTTTCCCTACTAGCTAAGACGAAGAAGAAAGAAAAAAAAATTCCTTTTCTGAAACCCAAGTCCCTTACTATTTTCGGCAGCTTGCTTTTGAAATCAGCAACCCTACTGATAAAATGATCCAATCAGTCCTCCCCAGTTGTCAAGACAACAGTTCATAATTGTACCAGCTCTTTTCATTGCAGCTAGACATTTCATAAATAGATAATTCTCTAATTGATCCAGCCAATCCTACTTTGCATACCCTGCCAAACTAGGTAAGCCCGGTTTCTATTCTAGTACGGCAGCAACTTTTCTGCAAAGACATGCAAATTGGCTTTATTTACCGCTTGCGAGAGGGGACGGAGATAAAAAAAAAAGCAATTCTGA